ACTCCATTAAGCATCCAACTCTTGATTTCAGCTCAGGTCATGATCTCAGGGTCATGGAATCAGCCCCACATCTGAACTCTGTGCTCAGCACAGAGTCTGCTTGGGATTTTCTCTCTACCTCTGCCCCCTTTGTTCGTGTGCTCACGTGTGCTCTCTCTCCCTCCCCCTCTCTTAAGTAAATGGATAAAATCTTGAAAAAAAAAAAGTCTTTTTAAAGAAAAAAGGAAAATCGGGGACACTTGGGTGGCTCAGTTGGTTAAGCATCTGACTCTTGATCTCAGGGTCTTGAGTTCAGGCCCCGGGTTGGACTTCACATGGGCATGGAGCCTACTTAAAAAAGCATGGGGAGGGGGATCAGAAGGAAGAGAAAGTACATTTACAGTACTGTACTGTGTTTATCAAACAATATACATTTAGTATTCTTTGTACAAACACACTACAAAAATGTGAAATGAGAAATTTTTTTAAGTGAAAAATATTTAAACCTGTGCTGTTTTAATATTTAAATGGTTTTAGGAAAACTTTTTTTTAAGATTTTTTATTTATTTGAGAGAGAGCTAGTGAGAGCAAGCACATGCCAGGGCAAGGGGTGGGGCGGACAGGAGAAGTGGACTCTTAACTGAGCAGGGAGCCCAATGTGGGGCTTGATCCCAGGACTCTGGGATCATGACCTGAGCCAAAGGCAGATAGATGCCTAACCGACTGAGCCACTAGGTGCCCTAAAAACTGTTATTTCTCTTTTTTAAAAAAGATTTTTCTTTATTTTGAGAGAGAGAACATGAGTGGGGGGGGAGGGTCAGAGGGAGAAGCAGGCTCCCCACTGAGCAGGGAGCCCAACGCAGGACTCCATCCCAGAACCCCATGATCATGACCTGAGCCAAAGGCAGATGCTTAACTGACTGAGCCATACAGGTACCCAAAACTTTTATTTCATTGATACAGATGTTCTTCTTACAGGAAAAGCTGAATCTCAGTTGTATCCATAGTCCTGTTGTTAATGAACTTATGAGAGGAATCCGTTCCCAGATGGATGGATTAATCCCTGGAGTAGAACCACGTGAAATGGCAGCTATGTGTCTTGGATTAGCACACAGGTGAGATTTACTGGAAAATAAAGTCCACTTATTCCTGTTTAGTAAGCAATTGTGTTGCACTGGTTTATGCATATTACAAATACTAATTTATTTCTCATAGTAATTTTATGAGGAAGATAGTAGTAGTATCTTTATTTTATAGATGAATCTGATGCCCAAAATCAATTCATCTGGTAAGTTATGAAGCCTGGATTATAACCCAGGCAGTCCTCATCATAGGCATTTATCCTTCTTCAAGTGTTGAGCCCCACAATTCTTGGGCTTTCCCTTTTTTCTTTCCCTGATCTCTACTGAATCATTTGCTATCCCTCCATCTTTTCATCTCTCCAAATTTTCTCATCTGCTATGGTCTCCTTCTGTGTGTATCTGTTGTTTGTTTTACTCTTGATTTGTATTAACTTTTTATATAATAAGTCAAAGAGAAGCACATTGACCTATCATGTTTAACCAGAGGTCCATTAGAACAGGCATTTCTGCTGTACTGTGATATGTGTTCTGAAAAGCTTGGCATCCTGTGAAATTGCACTAAAATAACAGGGTTTTTCAGTGAAAAAAAATAGGATTAAAGGTAGATTACTCAAAACCTATGCAACTTTATAACCAGAGCACTATCAAAAATAGCCCTATATATTAATACAGTTAAAAAGACATGTTAGATTTATATTAAAGTAGTAGTAAACAGGTCTGTACCTTTGGACAAAAAATAGCATAAATCAACGGAAGGATTAAGACTGCTGAGTTACAAAGATGAGCAAAATGCATAAAAATCGAGGATAACTTTGTAATAAGCATTTTTGAGAGCGCACAAGCAGCTAAACTGAGTCAGGATTCAAGCTTGTGATTAATTGACATTGTATAACAGTAATGGTTCTCAATCAAGGGCAATTAAATATCCCTTAGAGGACATTTGGCAATGGCTAGAGACATTTTGGCTGTTATAGGTGGGGTCACGTCTCTACTAACATGAGTAGAGGACAGGAATATTGCTAAACATCCACGGTGCACAGAATAGGCCCCTACAACAAAGAATTATCATGCCCATATCATTAACAGTGCCAAGGTTAAAACCTTATGTACAATAATGTTCCTCTGTGGGCTTTCTGTTTTCATGTGTTAACCTGGTGTAAAGCCTTGAAACCCTGTAAAAATCATACATGAACCAATATGATTTGTACTACACAGCATTATCCTGTTTGTCTTTCACAAATTAATTCATATTTCAGCAGGACCGGTATATTTTCTTTTTTTAAGATTTTATTTCAGAGGGACAGGACAAGCATGAGTGGGGGGTGGGGCAGAGGGAAAAGCAGACTCCCCGCCAAGCAGAGAGCCCTATGTGGGGCTCCATCCCAGGGATCTGGGATCATTACCTGAGCAAAAGGCAGATGCCCAACCAGCCACCAGCCACCCAGGTGCCCCTGTATTTTCTTTTTAAATGTGTATTTCCTAATTTTGCCTATTGTATTCTTGTTCAACTGGTTTTCCTGTGTTGGGAAAATTAATGTAGCTCTAAGACGGATTTTGGTTTTAAAGTTTTTTAAGGGGTGTCTGGGTGGCTCAGGCAGTTAAGCGACTGCCTTCAGCTCAGGTCATGATCCCAGAGTCCTGGGATCAAGCCCTGCATCGGATTCCCTGCTCTGTAGGAAGCCTGTTTCTCCCTCTGCCTGCCATTCCCCCTGCTTGTGCACGTGCTCTCTCTCTCTCTCTGACAAATAAATAAAAATGAAGTTTCTTAAGATGTTAATTAAACTCTTTTTGTAGCTGCTGTCAGTAATTTTTTATCCCCCCCCCCTTATCCTCAGCTTGTCCCGATACAGATTGAAATTTAGTGCTGATAAAGTGGACACCATGATTGTTCAGGCAATTTGTAAGTATAGTGCATGTGAGGTCTGATCCTCATAACTTTTTCCTGCTGTTAAAACTGTATCTTTTATCTTTTATAATTTTATCAGTTGAAGAAGGAGAAGATTAATTAGGATTTTTAATAGCGAAGTAAATAAACTAGAAAATGCAGACTAGAAAAGGCAAGCCACCCATAATTTGACTAGTTGGAGATAAGGTGAATTAACACTAGTGATGTTAACAAATTTGTCTTTTTCCATGAAGCAAATCAGTAAGTGGGATCTCTAGTGCATTGTGCTTTTTTCACTTGGCTTTTTAATAGGTCATTCTCCCATGTCATTAAGTGAATTTTGGAAATATCAAACTCTTTAAGTTTCCAAATTTAAAAATCCCTTTAAATGGCAATTGCATTTCTGGGTATGTACTCCAAAGAATTGAAAGCGGGTACTCACAGATACAGATACACCTATGTTTGTAGCAGCATTATTCACAATAGCCAAAAAATGGAACAACCTAAATACCCAGTAACAGATGAATGGATAAACAAAATGGGGTACATACACGTAATGGATAATTATTTTTAAACCTTAAAAAGGTTTACAACATGGATGAATTTTGAAAACAAGCTGCGAAATAAGCCATGCAAAAAAGACAACTGTTGTGTGATACCACTTATGAGGTACCTAGAACAGGCAAATTGTAAAAGACCAAAAGTAGAAGAGAGGTGGGGAGGTGGGAATGAGGTGTTATTATTTAATGGGTGCAGAGTTTCCATTTGTGGATGATCTAGAGTTCTGGAAATGGATAGTGGGTGATTATTGAATAATATTGTGAATGTGCTTGATGCCACTGAAACCTACAATTAAAAATGGTTAAAATGGTAAATTTTATGTATATTTTAGTTTTTTTAAGCCCTTTTAAGTTCCTCTTTTTCATTTTAATCTACTGCAGCCTTGTTAGATGACTTAGATAAAGAACTAAACAACTACATTATGCGGTGTAGAGAATGGTACGGCTGGCATTTCCCTGAATTAGGAAAAATTATTTCAGATAATCTGACATACTGCAAGTGTTTACAGAAAGTCGGTGAGTAACTTTATCCTTTAAGGCATTGAAAATAATTATTTGCATCCCAAAATACGAGTTATAGTAATTTTTTTCCTTAACAAGCTTCCCAGAGTTCCTTACAACTTATGTGTATTTTGGGAGTGTAGCCAAATTAGTGTCTGTTAGAATTCAGAAACTGGTAATTTGAACTTTCACGTCAATGGCCAGTACAAGAGAACATGGTTCTCTGATTTGGTTTTTCTTAAATTGGCTTCTTAAGGTGGAATGTATCTCAGTGAATTTACCATTAATAGGAGCAATCGTAGACGTGGGCTATCCTGTGATATGTTAGAATACTAAAGCTGGTACTGCCCTCTCTACTGTTAGTGTTATATTCCATACCAGTGTACAGTAATATTACTAGTAGAACAATCTAAGGATTGTTAATAAATAGGACTTAACCAGGTTCATATTGCATTACCATATTACCACCCCAAGAATTCATGGCACTGACTTTAATAAAACTTTAGTTATAAATTGTCTGTTATAATATTATTAGTCCTGTTTTATGAGGTATTTTGTTTTTATTCTAATTTATATCTTTTTGGAGGGAGATGATGGGGAGAGATTTTAATCTCTAAAAATCAAGCCTTACATAAGGAAAATTAGTAGGTCAAACTTGTTCGCTTTTTGTTTTGTTTAGGCACCCTTTTCATTGGCTTATCTCTACTTTTTTTTTTTTTTGACTATTTGGATTTTATATTATTTGTTGAAGAGTGATTCTCCCTCATCCTCTGCAAACATTCCATAGGCGATAGGAAGAATTATGCCTCAGCCAAACTTTCTGAATTACTGCCAGAGGAAGTTGAAGCAGAAGTGAAAGCAGCTGCAGAGATATCAATGGGAACAGAGGTTTCAGAAGAAGATATTTGCAATATTCTGCATCTTTGCACTCAGGTAAACTATACACATAGAGAAACTAGTTGTGATGGGACCAGCTATGTAATAATAATTTTCTGATGGCAATGATGATTTTTTAAGCTTACCATTCACCTGATAAATATGAGGGTGTTTAGTCACTACCTCATCTGATGCCATCTTGATTTATATACTTAGGGGGAAATACATACTAAAGGAAGTGGAGAGAATACTATCTAATTTATTTGTATTGTTAGCTAGCATTGTCTGGATAATGAATTATGAATCTGTTAAGAAGACCGAGAAATACAGCTTGAGTTATTTAATTCCAGCCTCTATGTTTGTATCCTGGCGTGCTTCCCCGCCCGCCCCCCCCACCCCCCCGATTTGGAGATCGCGGTAGAGCATGTGACTCTTGGTCTTGGGGTTCTAAGTTCGAGCCCCATGTTGGGTGTAAAGATTACTTAACAAATCTTAAAGATCACAAAAAAGATGACAATGTCTATCTAGCCCTTGGAGTTTTTAAAAATAAAAGTAATACTGACTAATATTTTTAGGCAGTGTAGTAGGTTGTTTGCATTTATTATCTCATAAAATCTCTTAAAATGGGAAACAGATAAGGAATGCTTTGTTTTCCCAGGATTACACGGCTGATCTATGACAATTTAGGACTCCATTGTTTCAGACATGTGGTTTTTATGTGATTTTTAACACAAGTCATTTATGGTATATTCATTTTGTTCCTTATACTAGGTAATTGAAATCTCAGAATATAGAACCCAGCTCTATGAATATCTGCAAAATCGAATGATGGCCATTGCACCAAATGTTACAGTGATGGTTGGGGAATTAGTGGGAGCACGGCTCATTGCTCATGCAGGTGATGATTTTAATGTAACTTATAAATAGGGATATTTAGATTGTTTTTCTCCTAGGATTATTTTTTCATCTAAAATTACATTTATTAAAAAATTTAGGTAATAAATAAAAGTAGATGGTATATGGGAAAGGACTAAGGACCAAGTAAGTGTTCAATGATGATTCTGATGCGTATGCCTGATATCCTTTTGGATAATGAAGGCATCTTCAGTCACTACCTCTTCTGAGACACTTGTGGTCTGTTGTCAGATGTTTATTATCATTAATGAGAATAATCAGATGAATGCAGGAGGTTGAAATCAGTTAATATTTACTACCAGGTTAGGGGCACCTGGGTGGCTCCATTGGTTAAGCACCTGACTCTTGATTTCGGCTCAGTCATGGTCTCAGCATTGTGAGATGGAGGCTGCTTAAGATTCTCTCTCCCTCTCTTTCTGCCCCCCAACCTCTAAAACAAACAAACACAAAAAAACCTCATCAGATTAAATAGGAATAGTTCTCACAACAGGTGATACATACCCTTTTTTTTTTTTTTTTTTTTTAAGATGGTTCACTGGGCGCCTGGGTGGCTCAGTCGTTAAGCGTCTGCCTTCGGCTCAGGTCATGATCCCAGAGTCCTGGGATCGAGCCCGGAGCCCCGCATCCCACTCCCCCTGCTTGTGTTCCCTCTCTCGCAGTCTCTCTCTCTGTCAAAAAATAAAATCTTTAAAAAAATAAATAAAATAAAAAAATAAAGATAGTTCACTGCTGAATATGCTATTTTAATATATTTGACATGCAAAATATTTTTAGTAAATTTATAATAAGACTTCATATGTGTGTATGGTGATGTTACAAAGAAGGTATGCTATAAAAATGTATAATTGAGTATTTGCAAATAGAGTGAAGTATCACTATTATTGGAGTCATCATTACAATCTGTCACAGAAGATCTTAATGTTATCATTTACATCAAAGTGTCTAAACTAGAATAACCCCTGTAACTGCATCATTAGACAGCCCATTCAAATAACCTCAGGTTTGAGGTTGGGATCATCTGGCTGGTTTTTTGTCTGCATCCAAATTTTCATAGGCTTAACTAAACTTTTGTGGTCAGAGATGCAGGGATTAACAAGTTTGTGTTGAATTTTAAATACGTGTCTAGTGGTTGAGCGTTAATGTTGGGGGTCTGTTCTGACAAAATCTGTGCAATAAATCTAACAAAGCAGTAACTTTTTTTTTTAAAGATTTTATTTATTTGACAGAGACACAGCAAGAGAGGGAACACAAGAGGGAGAAGCAGGTTTCCTGCGGAGCAGGGAGCCCAATGTGGGGCTTGATCTCAGGATCCCTGAGATCATGAGCTGAGCTGAAAGCAGATGCTTGACAACTGAGCCACCCAGGCACCCTAAAGCAGTAACTTTTTATACCTGATTAGTGTACTTACATCTCCTAATCCATATCTTAAACAACAGAGATAAAGTTATAACATAGTTCTATTGAGATGTCCTGAGTATCCATATATTTGTATGTTTTTTTCCTATCTAAGGTAGAATATTTGATGTCTAAAATCCTCCTCTGTGGTATGCTAATGGAATATAGAATAGTTAATACCATCTCTCGGGCAAATAAGTTTAATTGCACCTTCAGTTTGTCATAAGCATTCATTGTAAGCCTCTGCTTATGGTGCTATGTGGATAAATCACAAATGTTGAGGCTTTTTAGGGAATCTCAGACTATACAGTCTATATCAAATTTTTATTTACTCTGGTGGCTATAATACTTAGATTATATGTCTTATGTTTAATACATGGAACTTTCAAATACTTGGAATTGCATTCCTTGGATGTGAGGGCGATCTGGCTGCGACATCTGTCACCCCATTGATCGCCAGGGTTGATTCGGCTGATCTGGCTGGCTAGGCAGGTTTCCCCTTCCTCCCTCACCGCTCCATGTGCGTCCCTCCCGAAGCTGCGCGCTCGGTCGAAGAGGACGACCTTCCCCGATAGAGGACCGTTCTTCGGTCAAGGGTATACGAGTAGCTGCGCTCCCCTGCTAGAACCTCCAAACAAGCTCTCAAGGAATTGCATTCCTTGTAACTACTTCTTTTTTTTGAAGGTTCTCTTTTGAATTTGGCCAAACATGCAGCTTCTACGGTTCAGATTCTTGGAGCAGAAAAGGCACTCTTCAGAGCCCTGAAGTCTAGACGAGATACCCCAAAGTATGGTCTCATTTATCATGCTTCACTCGTAGGCCAGACAAGTCCCAAACACAAAGGAAAGGTGAGTTGCATTTCTTCTTTTTTTTTATTATTTTTTTAAGGATTTATTTATTTATTTTAGAGAGAGAGAGGGCACAAATGGGAGGGGCAGAGGCAGAGGGAGAGAATCCTCAGCCAGACTCCATACTTAGCACGGAGGCTGACAAAATGATTTTTGACGAGGGGCGCCTGGGTGGTTCAGTCAGTTGGGCATCCGACTCTTTGGATCTCAGCTCAGGTCTTGGTCTCAGGGTCATGAGTTCAAACCCATGTTGGGCTCCACTCTGGGTGTGGAGCCTACTGAGAAAGCACCAGTGTAATTAATTCTCATTGCATATCCACGCTGTGCCACAGCTAGATGAAATTCAAGTCAGTGTTGAATTCTTTCCCAGCGCGATGACCTTTTGGTGTAGGCGGGCGACCCTTTGCCCAGGAAGAGGGTGTCGGAGTGGGGCCAAGCAGAGCAGGCCTCCAGGGGCCCTGCCAGGTCTGGAGTACAAAATGCTAAGCGACAGCAGGCAGCGCAGCGAGCCGGGCGCAGGGTCCCGGGCCAGCCCCAGGAGGGGCCGTCGGAGTGTGCCGAGCCAGCCACAGCTTCCCGAGGGAGAGCACGGCCCGCATACGGGCGGGGCTGGGGCGGGGGCAGCCGGCGGCCGCGGGGGAAGCCCCGGGGCCAGCACACAATGGGCGGCGGCGCGAGGCCAGCCGCCCGGCCAACGCGCCGCCGCACCACGTGGGCCGCAGAGCGCGGGCCAGGAGCGGCCCCTCGGCCCAGGCGGGGCGCGGCGCGGCATACGTGCACGCCGAGTTGCATTTCTTCTGAGGCAGGTTGTTTTCTCTCCCTCCCCCACCCATCGATAACTCATTTTCTGCCTATTCTATAGTATGCAATAAAGTTTTTCTACTTCTTTGTCATTAAATAGAGAATGGTGAATTCTTGAGTTAAAAAGCACTTTTGTGAAAGGAAATAACATAAAGTGTTGCTGGGGGCACCTGGCTAGCACAGTAGAGCGTGCAGCTCTTCATTACGGGGTCGTGAGTTCCCAGCCCCATGTTGGGGGTTCCCAGCCCCATGCTGGGAGCTTACTTAAAAAAAAAATTATTACTATTATTTTTTAAAGATAAAGTGTTACTGATCTCGTTAAGGCTGTTTTTTTTTTTGCTATATTAGGATTTTTCTAGAATCCACCTGTTTGTGAGAAATGGAGTAGATGGCACATCACAAATTTTCTGTGTGGCAAGAAATCAATTTAACGTCGTCATTTATGAATTTTAAAATAATAACCATGCACTGTGATCAACACCTAGTGGGACTTAAGTGAATCCTTTTAATAGCCCTGTGAGCTGTAGGTATCAATTTTATAGATGAGAAAGCTGAGTCTTCAGCAAATATTAAGTACTTTCAAGCTTTTTGGTTAGGGTACATAATTTAACAGAAACTAGAACGTTAAAAAAAGAAACAAAGGTTATAAAATTCAGAGCAGATTGATGAAAAGGGTTAATTAGCTTAAAAGGGGGGCTACGCTTTTTCCCGATGACCTCATGGTGTAGAATTAAGGTCACTGACATTAAAAGGGTAGTTTGAGCTTTTTTTAGACATGAACTGCTGCAGTATTATTTCATCCAACAAAACGAATGGGGTTGTATATAACCAGTTAACCATTGAGAGATTCAGATATAAGCTAGGTGGTTTGAGTTGTATGATTCATAATACTTCCTAATTCCTGACTTTGATAAAAAAAATACTAGAGTGAATGATAGAGTTGATGATTTGCTCCAGTTTTCTCATGAATAAGTTATTGAGGATTTTATCATCTCAACTTGGAATATAGTTTGAATGCCTCTAACTTCAAGTTCTCTATCAGATTTCTCGAATGCTGGCAGCCAAAACTGTTTTGGCTATCCGGTATGATGCTTTTGGTGAAGATTCCAGTTCTGCGATGGGAGTTGAGAACAGAGCCAAATTAGAGGCCAGGTTGAGGACCTTGGAAGATAGAGGGGTAAGGACCGCATCCTGCCTATTGTAGAAGTGTTAGCTATCAAAAATTAATAAACTTTAAGTAG